ATATAATATAATAATTATATATTATATATAATTATATATATAATATAATAATATAATATATATATTATATAATATATATATAATATAATATAATATATAATAATATATAATATTATATTATATTTTTTATTATATTGCAATATAGTTTGCAATATTTGTGCAATGTTTTGACCATTTTAAAAATAGGTTTAGGTTATAATAATAATTCTATTGGTAACTTTGGCTTTATTTTATTGTTTGATCCACTTTTTAAAAGTTAAATCGGATCAATCTGTGGAAATGGCTTCTAGCAGCAAGTGGTAAAAACTCTCATCTTTGTTTAGCATAACAATGACTGAAATCACCACCAAAATTGCACATTTCTAACCATCCACTTTCTTTCCCTGCAATTTAGTAAACACCATTAACTACTTGTTAATCCTAAAATCTTTTTAAGTCTTCTTAAGACTTTTGACTTAAGAGATTTACCTAGCAACTGTGAGCAACGATAGTGCTAATAACGCACTTCCCATGTCTTTTTGTCCTACGCTATTTTTTGAGTAGCTATTGTTTTATGGCTTCAGCTATTTTTGCTCATCATTTTGGTGAAAATCAATAATCCCCATCTGTAGCCCTACATCCTCGTTGATCGTCCGGCATGTAACAAATATACACCGTCTTAATATAACGTGCCCTACATGGAAAAGGACATGACGGCGTGTCTGACATCAGATGAGTTGAAGTGAAACAAAAAAGGAGGATATTTCTGTTTAAAGCTATTGTTAGAGAAGGAAACAACACCCGACTGACTTTTGTGAGGAGGAAGAAAAGTGTCAGAGTCCTCACCTCCGCCTTTGCTTTCCATCTTGGGTCTGATCTTAGCAACATCAACATCTCCGCCACCACCACCTCCTCCTCCTAAAGCGTCAGCGGTGTCTTTACTCGTCCTCTGATGGTGGTTCTTAAGATTCTTTCTCATTACGTCCTTAAAAAAAAGAAAGTCATTGAGCGTTAAAAAAAAGGAATTAGTCATTAGCCGTGTGTTGCTGTTGGTCATCTTTGAAGAAATTGTTTGAAAATCTGGGTAGTTTTTAAACTAAAACTGAGCTAATTTCTTCCAATTTCTTATTTTACGTACTTTTTATTTACATCCTTTACATTCATTTTTTTTCCTAGCAGTCCATACAGAAACTACATTTTTCAGACTCTTTGGCTACATTTTACATCATTAAAGTAATTCATTTCACCTTCTTACAATCTTATTTGAAAGGTAAACTCAGGTGAAACCTAATAGTTACCGTTTTGTCCCATTTCTACTCTACGTTTTAATCCACTGAGCTTTATCGTTTTGATAAATTAATTTACTCCTGACCTATAAATGAATGCAGAAATAAATATTTGAAAGACCTTGTGAATACATTAACATTTCCAGCCACTGTTTCCGCCTTTCTTAGGTGATGAATTATTCAGTTTGTGTCACAGTTTGTGACAGTGGATGTTTTTGTGTTGTGATTTAATAATAATAATAAAAAAACTGATCTTGTGACCCCTGGTGTGACCCCTGGTGTGACCCCTCACCTCCTGCTTGATGCTGCTAAACAAGGCAGCGTAGTCCCGCTCTTTGGCCATCAGCTGCTCATGAGTGCCGTGCTCAGCGATCTGTCCATCCTTCATCAGCACAATGTCGTCACACTCGGGCAGATACTGGAGGATTTCAAAAAAAAAAAAAAAGAGAGACATTTACTACAAAGGTCACTGACCTATTTCAGAGCAAACCAAAGGATTGAGAAAAACCACAGTGGGTTTACCTGCAGCTGGTGAGTGACGAAGAGTATGGTCTTCCCTTTGGCCAAACCTCTGATGGCTCTGTAGAAAACGTGAGCGGCCACACAAGCGTCCACAGCGCTGAGCGGATCGTCCAGCAGCAGAATGGAGCGATCGCTGTAGAGCGCACGAGCCAGGCTCACTCTCTGACGCTGACCGCCACTCAGGTTTGCCCCCCTCTCTCCAATCTGAGAAGGAGAAGAAAAAAAAAGTCTTAATTATATATTTTATTTGTCTAAATTAATAAAAAAAAAATTTTGATTTTCAAACAGACACCTCTGTCATGTCTCCATACGGAAGTTCAGCCAGATCCTGGAGAAGACAACAGGCTTCCAGGACGGCGTTGTATCTGAAGTGATGGAGGACACGTTTTAAAATATAGTAACAGTCCCATCCAATTGTATCACTGTTTCATCACACTAAAGTCTTATATAAATATAAAGAGAAAGCAGGTGGCTTTGGATTGGTCCATTATTAACTACATATTGACACAGAGCCATAAATGGTTTAAAATTCACAATTTTAAATGTGAATTTAATGCAAAAAACCTAAACAAAAACATATTGCACCTGAATGTTAAAAAAAAGGTTACAATAAGAACTGCCTTAAGTTAGCAAATAGCTAAGAATGGAGCAAAAACAACTGGAAGTTAGCTCAAGGATAGCTATAAGAGAAAAATTATTGTAGCTAAATGGTTAAAAATGTAAGAATAGTTCATTTTTTTTATAAATATTAAAATAAAAGTTAGTTCCAGAATGACAAATATATATAATATATTACTCTGCGAGAGAACATCCAGTTTGGAAATGAATTTGACGAGCACAGGTGAGATGAAAAAAAACAAACCAAGTAACCTGAGGTTTGTTCACAAAAAAGATATCTTTAAAAACTGGCTGACTTTGTTAAAATAAAAAAGAGAATTCTTTTTTTTTTTTTATTGCAACAATTTGTTTGCGTTGAGTTATTGTGTATATATATATACATATATATATATACATATATATGTATATATATATATATATATATATACACAATAACTCAACGCAAACAAATTGTTGCAATAAAAAAAATTTGAATTCCCTTTTTTATTTTAACAAAGTCAGCCAGTTTTTAAAGATATCTTTTTTGTGAACAAACCTCAGGTTACTTGGTTTGTTTTTTTTCATCTCACCTGTGCTCGTCAAATTCATTTCCAAACTGGATGTTCTCTCGCAGTGAGTCATTGAGGATCCAGGCTTGTTGAGAAACGTAAGCGAAGCCAGCACTGACAGAAACATTTCCCTCCAATAAAGTCATCTGTAAAAAAGACAAACAAAACAAACAAAAAAAAAACACAGAGGGTAAGTGACAAAGAAAAACATGTATTATCTTAAAGAAGACATCTGAGGAGCTGTTCTTGTCACTTCTCCTCATGTTCATGTCTGAGTGAGTCTTCTTGGTAAGTCTGACCTGACCCAGCAGAGCTGAGAGTAGAGAACTCTTTCCACTGCCCACACTTCCACAGATCCCAACCACAGAACCCTGAAGAAGCAACGAAAAATACACAGTAGCATTGAGAGAAGGAATTATTATAACAAAATCAAACCGTTAAACAGCCTCATGCTAATTTACTTCACACCAGAAACAACATAACAGTGATTTAGCACAGGAAATGAACATTAGCTAACCTTTCCATCCCAACTCAGAGCTATCTCCCTGGTGACTCTTGGTGCCATGGTGTTTTTTTTTTTTTTTTGCTAACTCTAACTAAGGCCTTGCTTTTTTTGCTTGAGCCAAAATGTCGCTTTCTCTTCAATCTGCTTCTGTTTAAGGTGAGCTACTGTATAGCTATGAAAATGTAAAATTTGAGATCTTACATAGTCATACTTCATTTTGTTGCTTTTTGAATATTTCACAATTTGTTTGTTAATTTTTGTTATAAAAAAAGGCAGCATATCTTTTGTGGATCCTAATATGTTAGCTAATTTTAGCAAGAAAAATCATAACATGTTTTTTAATTAGGACAAACTAGTATTTTCTCTCCACAAATGTTAGCTAATTTTAGCAAGAAAAATCGTAACTTATGTTACAAACTAGTATTTTCTAAGGCTCACAAAATTTAAACTGATTAACTGTGAAAATTAAAATCCAACTTTAACAATTCAGTTATCTAACTAAAGCTCCACGTATCGTTGCTCAAACACAGTCACATGTTGTTTCCCGTTAACTTTAAGCTTTCACTTCTCGCTAATGCAGAAACATCTTTGATTGTCTAAGATGTGCTAGCTTTAGAAAAGTTTCACCGATCTGAGATAACTAAAATAAGACGATCAAAAACAATAGTTTTTATGTGAAGTCATGCTAATTTTATAGGATTTTAGCTTAGTTCTCTTCTTCCTTTGGACCTTTACTAAAATGCATGCGAATTGTACCTTCCTGATGTTGAGGCTAATGCGGTGCAAGGTCTTCTGCAGCGGTGGTCTGATGCTCTGGGTAGAAGAGATGGTGCTCTGTGGACTCTCCTGCTCCATGTTTGTCAGGAGACTTTGGGCGTTTGGAGTCTCCTTGTTTCCTTTGTCGTCCTCTGTGGAGATGTACAGACTGAGCTTCTCTCTGCGAAGGACGCGTTTCATCCCTCCTCCTTTCTTCGGCTGGTTCTTATTCTTCTCATTAGGAGGAGCTTTCATAGCTGGAGCTCGAGCTTTTTCCCAGGCTAGCGTGGCAGCCTGGAATTCTACCGAGTTTCTAGGATCCTCCAGTTTGGTGGAAACAACCTCTCTGTCGTCCATCATGAAAAGTTTCTGCGGAGAGATTTGATTTGACTTTAGACATATAATAGCTGATTTACCGCTAACAATACAATTTTAAAAAAAGCTAGTGGTAGACGGCACATATCTTTCATTAGTATAAATCCCCATGGCGCACCACCAAACTATCTCACAAAAGGTATATGTTAAGAAACATAATAATCTTGTAGTTTGTATTTACTCACAATTTACTAAAATTCTGAACTGTTTAGTTGAAGACGGCGTTGCTTTACTCGCAGGAATTGAAGAAAGACACTCACAAAGATCTTCAGATCTTCATTCATAATTCAGTTATAACCTATTATAACCAATGTTTGCTTATTAGGATAAACTAGAATTTTCTACGGCTCACTAATTTAAACATTAACTGTGAAAATTAAAATAAACTTTAAACGATGCAATTAACGATTTCAGTGTACCGACGTTTCTGATGCAACTCATTGTTGTCTGCGAAACAGGCGTCATAGATACTTAATATTTTCCAAAGTTAATCAAATGTTAACCTTAAATGACCAAAATAAATACTGCATTTTATTTTTAACTGCACCAACTTTTCTGGAAAGCCATTTTGCACAATCCGTGGTTTTTGCAGATGTGCTGTTGTGTAATGTTCCTAAAGAAGTGTCACAGCTGTGATAAAATCGTCACCCAGTACCTGGGAGAACACGATGACCCTATTATGTAAGTGACACCAGAATTGCTGAAAATCACTTCAAACCTTTCCGCTGCGTCGTTGGCAGAAAGGCAGGAATGTTCAACAGTTCCAGTGTCTGTGAAAACACCTGTCACCGGAGTGCGACTTTCAGCACGTATTTGTAAAAATCATACTCCGACAGAGTGATTCACCGTATGTGTGTGTTTTGAACATTTGCTGTAAAAGAGTTCAACTGTTACTAAGCCGAATCACACTTTTTTTCCCTTATTGAAAGCAAGGGAGCAGGGAGTAATACCAAAGATAATAAACAGTACCAAAAACTATACAGAATTAGTACCAAGTACCAGGACCTGCTAATACAGTTTGTAGCCCCTGTAAAAGTACCTAAAAGGAGTACTTGGTCAAAAGATTACTGCATTGTTAATGATTCTATTAATATCATCATTATATTTTAAATCCGGATGCTGAACACAAATAAGTCGTGTAAATGACACTAAAACGGTCTGCTTCGTTACCTGAAATCTCCTGACGGCCACGGCTCCCTCCGACAGTGACCTCACCGCCAGCGGCGTCACTTTCAGAGCGAACGTCCTAGAATTGAAGACAGCCACTACTGTGAAAGCCCGAGGCAGA